ATATATATATATATATATATATATAATGTTATGAGATTTAAGCTATTTAGCCAAAATATTTGTGTTTGTGTTATAATCTATAGTCATTCTTTATAAAACATTTGTTAATTACCGGAATGTTATAAATATTTCAAATGTGAAATTGAAAAATTTTCTGATGCATAAAAGTATTTTATAATCTTAAAATGAAAATTACTTTGCATGTTAGATAAGCAACATGTGAAAAGAAAAAAGGCATTTGAAAAACATTGCTTAACATAAAATAAATCTGATATTTTATGTATGAAAGCCTTGTAATGTTTGTTGATAATATGACAAATTTTGTGAACATATGCTTACTAATTTAAAAGTTATAGCAAGAAAGCTATAACAAGCACAAAATGGTTATGAGGTTGGTCCCAGGGACCAAACCCGTGCTGAAAGAGTTAAACCATAGGTACAATGTACTCAAAAATTACAAAATCACTGAACTTTTTTAATTGTTGAAATTAACATACATCTTCCACGTAAGTTTGACAAAACTCATACTTGTGATAAAAAGAAAATGAAATCATTTAATGGCTAATATTACTATTTATGAACTAATTTTTATTATTTAGAGCTCTTTTCCACTGTTTTTATTAGGATTTGCAGTGAATTTTCTTGTTACAAGTCTCAATCTAAAAGTAACAATCTCCTTCGAAGCACATAATGAATGCCTAATCTATCTAAAATAAATTTCCTAACCATTATTAACACAGAGAACTAAGCAAATATTCCTCCACTAATAAATATAATTTTATTAAAAGTTGTACTGATTTTTGCAGCAAATCATTAAATGTTAGTGGTTTAATTAAGAATAGAATATTATATATGCTTCTGCTTTAGCAAGTATGGAATAAAACAATATTTGTGAAGCACTGTTAAGTTTCTCAAGTGCTTCTCTAAATGTTAAACAAACAAAGTGCTTTGTATAAATTAGAGAACAATCAATCATCTACACATATTTTAAATTCAAAACATGATGAATTCCTCCTAGTTCAGGTATTTCAGAACTTCATAATATATCAAGACAAAACAAATGTGTATAAAGCACATTTGGAGTTTATTTATTTAATGTTTTGTGTGGCCAACTTTGGTTGAAATCACTGTCTGAAGCTAAAGAGGAATGCTTTCTTCAAGCTTATGCAGATGCTCAGTGGGAATTGAATTACATGCATCTTGAAGTAATGAGTAATGGTATCCAGTTTATTTTTAAAACTTGCATGAATATTTATTTCAACATAATTTGTTTACTGAGTTCTCTCACAATCAAAGAAAGATGCACCATGAGCAAAAATTAACCCCCCTAAGAAAATCCTGTAAATGCCCATGTACTAGGGCCAGTGATCATAAGGATTCTTTTCAACAACTAAATGTCAGGATAACACTTTGGCACAAAAGTGCATGTTAAAATCTCACTTTTTCATCATGAGCATCATATGGTGGTCTTATATTTATATTTAAATGATTATTCAGTAGAGAGAGAGGAATAAAAAGCTGATATACCAATAAAAATTCACTTTTTGATACTGAAATATCTTTTCTTCTTTTAATAATGACAAGCATTCTTAAGTGTGAGCTGCATGAATTAATTCCCTAAAACTCACCTCACCCCTACAACATCAAGTTCCAATTCTCTAGCCACTTCCAAAAGATGTTCAACATGATTTATATCACTTCCAAACTTAAAGCCAAACTGAGAGACATTTTCATCACCGTTCTCCAAATGAATACAAAGCATTACTTGAGCTGATGGATGAACAATCTTGATTTTGTGTAGCTCCATTTCACTGTCAAAGGTCAGCAAATCAATTCCAACAGCTGCAGCATGCTTGATGAAAGAATGGGTTTTACATGGATTTCCAGAGATAATACGAGGTGTGTCAACCCCAAGGCCTAACAATGACTGAATCTCCAACTATATGTAAAGTGAAAACAGTGCTGGATACAGTTTTATTTTTCTATCTTCCTATAAAGTTTAAAGAATTTGGTTACTAAGTTTCTAAAAATGCATTTTGTTTGAATTTTCTCACTTTGTGCATATATATAATATAGTATTTAATATAACATTTCTACCCTCATACATAAAAATGAAGAAAATATTAAAACACACAACTTTTATAATACTTACTACCACATCCTTCATTACACAAGTGAAAAGACTGGCTAAAAAAGTTCTAAATTACAAATACAAAACAAATTATGAAACTCAAATAATGGACATAAAAGTCAGCGATAAGCATGTCAAAGATTTTTTCTTTCAAAGACATTTTGTAAAATAACTACTTTAAATTTGGTAGAATATTACTAGCTATTAATTTCTATGTATTAGTATTTCAGGCTTACTATCAATGAACTTTCTTCCTTACGTATAAAACACCACATATTATTTTCAGCTAAAACTTCAATATGGTAAATATAGAAATTTTTGGATAAAACCACAAAGAATCTATAAGAAATACCACAATTCTCATATGTTACCTTTTATGGGGAAGATACTTCAAAAAAATTAAACATTTACTTTCTCAACATGAATGTTAAAATTAATGTGTTATGTTAACATTTCCTTACTTGAAAATATATATCTCACACGTTTTTTACCTCTCTGTATTACTAAGATCTATTACCTTTCACACCAGCTGCTATTGAATTTCCTCTACATGGTACAAGCCTTGAACAAACACCCCCCCCCCTACATGTATTGCACCAGCCGATGGTGTAATTGTTATAATAATATAGCCCCTCCACTAGTAGGAGGGAGACACAAATTTCATGTTTATTAATCCCTGAGAGCACTAACATAACATTATACGCTCATTATTAAAGAAGCAAATAAAATGCACCAGAATTGGGGCAGAAGTGTGCGAGGTGGTGCAGAGATTTAAGCACCTATTTGAAATATATTTTCAGGCAAAAAAAATGTTAATCTAAGAAACATTGCTTACTTCTCTGCATCACCAAGAGCATGGATAGGGCATTAGGCTATAACAAAACTTGGAGGGAGGAAGAGTCCTTACTCGCATCCCAAGGCAAATCTAAGTTACATCCAGCTGGACCTATCCATGGCATATTGCTTTGTAAACATTGTAACAGGATGTCCTATATTACATTTTCAGTTAACACCTCAGTCCTACATCTCAAATGAGAGGTGGACCCAACTAGTCTCTTACTGGAAGGGAAGACACCATTCACAGGGGAAACCCTCCATATCGACTTCCCTAACAGCTTAGAATAAGGGAAATAAAGGTTCTCCTGTCCTCCACCAGAACAATATGGTGTGAGAACATCAGTGTGTATACATGAACCACTATTATCAAACACAAGCATCTGGAATTGGATCTTCACAGTAATACAGTGTAATGGGTTATTACAACAAAAGACAGCAGTGCAAGCCAGATGTAACAGCAGGACTACACCTGGTGCTGTCTGTTGTATTGTTTTGTTTGTAAAAGGTGTGGAAATGGCCATGTCAATTAGATAGATATAATGGTAAAGCAGTCTTGCAGAACACCCTATCTCAATGCCATGCACTGAGCAGGTACAGGTGGATTAACACTTTTCATACCCACTCTCCTTCCAGTTCAATGCAGATCTTGGGTAAGTATCCCCTATGAGGCAATGCTGCCACTGAACAGGATCCAATGACACCAAACATAATTAATGTAGTGTTTGTTACACATGTTACTACGATGTCTGTTTTTTTTCTTGTGTTTTCTCGTTTGTGGTTTGCTTTGCTACAAACCCTTTTGGAAAATGTTACTACTTTTTTTTTCCATGGCATATGATATTACAAAAACTTATTTAATTTACTGATAAAAAATTATTAAAAATTGCTCACTTTGTTCCCACAACTAAAGTTCAATCCCAGGGTAGCAAGTAGTTCCAACAGTAATGGATTGTCATTGCACTTCACAGCTGAAAAGTAATAAAATTATCTATAGCACAAGAATACAAGTTAAATTAGAAAAAACTCCACAAATTTATCATGATAAGGTATCTTTTTAAAGCAAACCTATGATGTAAATGTTCAATTTTGATACAGGAACATAAGAAACACCTCAAGACTTTTAGAACTGTTCATATTCCAAAATTTTCAAAAATAAAGAATACACAAAGAAGAAAGAAATGCCTCAATTTCTATCATTACCAAATTCACTCTTAGGTAAAGATTATTCTTTTCAAAATATGAAACTCCAAAATGTTTTTTTTTTTTATAACATTGTTCTGAGAAACATAATTATCCAGCATTTACTACATGCTTGAGGTGTATAGTTACTATACAGAACTTAGCCCAGGGAAGTTTTGATACTGTCTGAAGCTGATATTCAAACTATAAAAATGGCAATAACACTTTGTCTTTAAATAATGCAAGACCTTAAATATTCAAAGACAAAAACATTTGTGAACAAAAATTGTCAATTTAAGCATAAACCTGACAGTTTTACATACTTACATATATAAATTGTTACATATATTCGTATCAAAAGTTTGCAGTTAAGTATAATGAATACAAAATATTGCCATTAAAGGTCATGCCTCACCAGCTAAATGACTGATGTATAATTTCAATTAAGATTCCATATTCATTTGTGATTTTCTCTTCCTCATAAAAGTAAAGGACTATACATTAAAACTAAACAAATTAAGAATCCATCTGTTGTAGCCCAGCCATTCTAATGAACTTCAGTAGTGAATAATAACTAACCCTTAAGCAGTGCCAAATAATACATAAGGTAAGGAAATTATTATACTGCATTCTTCTGATAGGAAAACTATTAGCCCATTAGAGAATACTGTGATATAAATTGTTATTCAGGAGTTAATTTGGAAAAAGTTAATCATAAATTCATACTTACTCACCATAGTAGGGTTTTACCCGAGGCATTTTGTACTTCCACATTTTGTACTTATGCACTATATCAGACATGTCAAAGACATAGAAGGGTTTTTCTACATCCTGAAATTAATCAATGTTATAAACTGGATGCAACATGAAACTTTCTTTCACTACAAAAATTATGTTACCCCCCCCCCCCTCCTCTCTCATACACAAATCTATATTCTGCAGTTCAGTACTAGGTAAAAAAAATAAAAAGTATTAACACAAAGATACATATATATTTTATCATAGTTGTTTCAATATCATTTCTTTAAATTTTACTGAATGAAGAATCATGAACATCTCTGGACATTCATATCTTAAAGTGATACAGTTTGGTCTAGTCACTTTTGAAAAGACCAAGTTGAACTGTAAAACTAAAAATACCACTAAAATATCAAACTCAAATTTAAAAAAAATTGAAATGAGTATCTTAGACTTATTTAATTGCAAAAAAGTGCACTGTTTTATATACAAATGAAATTTAAAACTAATTTATATCTCAAATGTTAATATTTTTCTAAACTTAAAATTTATTTCTGATAGATACTTACCCCTCTCACAAAAAGCTTTCTTGACTTATACTGCCCTCTATCGACACAAATTTTCACTTGCCACTAGCTTTGATACTCCCACTTGTCTCTGCATACCCTCTACCAATAGGAGTGTGACACCTTTTCTAATCTTGCAGCTGTTAACCACTTCCAGATTGGTCAGATCAAACCAAACCACACCGAAAGTCAGAGGGAGGACAGGTGGGAAATGTGAGAAGATGCAAGTATCTATCAGAAATACATTTTCAGTTTAAGAAAATGTTAACTTCTAATATGATATCTTATCTTCTTTAACAAAAAGTTAAAATCCCACACTGAACCGGTGGATGGCCAGTGAGGAAATGATCCCCCTTTAGGAAGTGCCCAAAAGAAAACCATGGGATGTGAGAAGGAATTAAAAACAATGCACTTGTGGGAGGCTGCACCACTTCTACCCCAAGTATACTCTTTGCCCTTTAGTAATGTGTCACCAAAAAGGGTGAAAACATGGAGGAACCCACATAGATCCAAAGACAACTCCACACGGAAAATATTGTTGGGACCACATTCAGGGCATCCAGATTATGACATGCTAATAAAGTGATGAGATGGCAGTGAGCCCAACACAGAAGATCCAATGTTTGCAAACAGAGGTATGTTGACAAAGTGACCCTTGTCCAGTGATGTAGAAGACTACAGAAACGTCAGAGTGAACCATCACCAACCGGGCCCAAAGACCCCGCAGGAAGTGAAGGAAAACCCAACAAAGAGCAAGGAGTTCCAAAAGATTGATATGGAGAAAAGAACTGGAAAGAGACCATAGCCCCAAAACCTTCAGAGGGTCGAGATACACCTCCCCAACCTAAAAGAGAAGCATCTGTAAAAGGTGACATTTGAGATGAGAAGGAGGAAGAGGAACACCCAAGGTAGTATTGTTCTGATCCAACCACCAGTCAGAGTCAGTCTGTAAGGGAAGGAAAAGGGTAAGAGGTACATCTAAGGAATCCCAAACAAAGCTCCATTGGTCTATCAAAACACACTGATGATGATGCATGAGGGCATGATCAGGAGAAATGACAATTTAGAGAGTTGCCCATATCCCCAAAAGAGAGAACCTCTCGTGCCTTAGGAGAAGGAGAGGATGAGTTGTTACATACGAGACATTCCATAGCTTGCAATTGAAGTGAAGCAGGTAGGGTCTGACGGAGGAGGGAGTTGAAAACACCCGGAGATGAACCAAAAATTGTGTGGGTGTGGGGAAAAACTGCTTCACTTTAACAATCCAACCATGACAGTGTCCTGGAAAAGAAACTGACAATGTCAGACAGTCATCTTGTGAGGAGGGAAGAAGCAGCCATACGTCCATAGAATGATGCAAACAAAGGCCCTTGGAATGAATCAAGCGGGCAAAAAAAATGGTGTCCCAAGGAGGAAGGAAATGGGATTGTGAGAGAATGGGGAGAAAAAGGGCAGAGGTGGAACATAGGAAACAGGAGATAAGGACAGAACATAACATATCTGAGTAATCAAATCCACACAGGGGAAAGAGGTCTGGGCAAGTCCCCCTGAAATGACACAAGACTGAGAGGCATATCAAGTAGGGGGAAAAAGGTTGTCCAACTCCAAAACTTCCTGATACCCGAAAACTTTGGTAGGACAATCATCAGTTTGTTCTGATTGTTTCATGAAATGGGTCAATTCCCAGCAGACCAGAGCAGTCATTTCATGGGCCAAGAATTGTGATTCTTCCTGACCCGTTGTACATGGTCAGTAATTCTACTGCAGCAGTTGTCATCATGACCACCTGAAACTGCAAATGCATAACTCATGAAAGTGAAAGAGGAGAGAAGATAAGTAAAATAATTACTTACTCTCCCCAAAAAAGAATGAAAATGGTAAAAACAATGTAATTAAAGTAGAAAAATTATGAAACTAAAAACTTATGGATAAGTGAATCGAGCCATGAGCAAAAACATGTCTATTCAATAAGACTGCCAAACCCAAGACGTGGTTAACAGCTGCAAGATTAGAGAGGGTGATAGTTACGATAGGGATAGAAATGCACTCCTATTGGTGGAGGGTTGCTGCATAATCACTTGCCTGTTAGTATGCAGAGATAAGTGGGAGTATCAAAGCTAGTGTTGAGCAAAAATGTGGGCCGATAGAGGACAGTACAAGTCGAGAAAGCTTTTTGTGAGAGGAGGTAGATATTGTATCAAAAGTGATGGTGCTTAAAATATACATACCTGTTGAGAAATGATATAAAAAAAACACAAAAATACTATGAAAATAAACAATAGTTTCTTAACATAAACATAAATAAAATCTCACTAATCAAAAATATATATGATGGAAGCAATTATTTTAACCATGCTTGTACAGTAAGGGGTCAAAGTTTGCATGTCACAACCTTTTTATATTTTCTTTTACAGTTACATTTAAATGTCTATTAAACAACTATTAACAATGTACATGAATTAACTCAGAATCAAAAATAGTTTATAATCCAAATTTTAATATCATGTTTTAATTTCAATTGGAAATATTTATATGAATTCTTAATTTCCACTTCTGTATCATGTGACACTTCTTTGCTCCAAATTGCGCAGTTAATATTTTCTTTCTATCCCTATGTGATCTAAGTTTAGCACAAATCACACACATGATATAGGTTTTGCTAAGCCATAATCTAAATTTATAGTCTTAAATCCTCTTGTTTTACTCAGATATAAACAAAAAATTCAAACCCACATATTACACCCCTCCTAACACATCCTGTCTTTCAAAAAATATCTATAACTCTCTCTGATATTGCTATTGGTCATGTCTATAACAAAAAGAAAACACATTCTTCACTATGTAAATCACATGACTGTATATTTTGTTTAAGCTGTAAAAGTCAATAATTTGCTGTTAGAGCTCAAAGGGTTTGGGCCTAGGACGTTGATCTAAGAAGTAACAATTTTCTTTAACCTATCTATAGGTCAGTTAGAAATCCATGCAGATAAATTATAGTAATTTTAAGCCGTTCTATATTACTATTTGGACTATGATTTGTGTTTTACGATTTGAAAGCTATGTAATTATGTTTTGGACAACCAACCATAGTGAGGAAAAAAGTAGCATTATTGAAACAATACTTCCAAGTACACACAACCTCAACTTTTAAAGTATGTTAAATTTCTTGTTTTTTTATTTACTGATCTATATATTTTTTAAATGAGCAAAAATGTATAAAAATTAAAAACTTCATGATTAAAGAAGAAAACTTAAATGCAAAAAAAAGAAATAACTTTTTTTTGTCATCACTCCTTGAACAATGCAGGAACAGTTAGACATGTGTGATGCAATCTGATCCATTTCTTTACTTGCTTATACCACCCACTGATTTACTGCTTGTCATAGTAGTTAGAAACAATTCAAACAAAATTTAATGAAAGCAGTTAAGATGCTTAAAGCTCTAAGATAAATAATTCTAATTGTCTGTTATAACCTGCAGTCATTCTAGCAAGTAAAAAAAAAGCAAAACGAAAAAAGGTATTTTTGATTTTATTTCTTTTTTTTCAAACTTATTAAAAATCCTGGTTTTTTGTGCACAATATACTTGTAATGTTTACTATAAGCCTACTACATATTGTGAAGATACATTTAGTAAATTCAGAATTATAATAAATATTGCAATGTATAGTTCAAAGAAGTGAGGGTTGGTCCAATGTGACAATGCTGTACACATAAGGTAAGCTGACAAAAAGATGGAGCTGCTCAATGCATTTCAGTATAATGAGAAACAGACTTACCATTTCACTGATAATGCTCTTAACAAATTCCAGAACAGACTTGTTTGTTATATTGCTTAACAGCTGGTTTGTCTGGGTCTTCATATTTGCTTTTTGGTCAGGAAAAATTTTGGTGCAAACTTAATCCGGTTTGTTTGGAAAAGTTCTAAAATATTCAGCAACAGTCTGAAATACAGCATGTTTTACAAGTAATTTTAATACATTTTATTAATTCATGAGAATTAGAGCTTCTTCTAGTAAACAAAAGAAGCATTTTGTTTTTTTAGAAACGCATGTCCAAGAAAGAAAAAATTATTTAAGAATGTTTCAAGAAAATCTCATTCAGATTTTATATAACCTGATGAATAGAATTTGCTCAAAACATTGTTCAATAAAATAAGTTTTAATGCTAATAAACAATATAATAAAAGTTAAATAAATTTAAAAACATTATTTTACTTATAGCAAGTTATTTAGTTAATATAACTCATTTTTTTTATGCTTGGTTGCAAAATGGAGCAAAATTATTCCACATGTAAATTGAATAGATGCCCTATGTACATATGGTATGAAACTGTCAAAATGCTGTCAAGGGAAAATATACAAATATCTTGATAGTTCATGTGAATTTTGTAAAAACACTTATGTAGAATAATGAGAGGTAAACAGAATATATCATTTTCTATTGATCATTTCAAATATTATGTATTAAATAAGAGTAAAGCTGCCAGCCTAAAACTTAATCCCTATCCTTCATACTTCCAAACCAATACTCTACCATACGAGCATTGGGTTCAAACCCATTCCCTACCCTGAATGTTCCAACTAGTAAATGGAATAACTAATGACAACTGGAGTGAGAAGGTCTAAACATCCTGAAAGAATTTTCAAAATTAATTGATGTAGCTTGTCTACTTCAATGAAAAATGTTAATATTATTATTATATATTACAAATATTATTTTTTACATTAAGTACTAATTTAAAAAACATTCTCAATGACTAAAATCACACCTCCAACTGCGTAAAATAAATCTTCAAAAAACATATATTACAACATAAACATATGTTTACAAAAATTAGGCAAACAAACCAAATATAAAACGGTAATTTTTTCAAAGACATTAAATTGATGTTAGGTCAGACTTGATCCTGAAAACTCTGATAGCTGGGTGCCAGCATTAACAATTTAAGCTGCTGGGTAATACCAACAGTTTTTACTACAGTGCCTAATCCAGGTTAGAGTTGAGCAAGTTACTATTATTTGATTACCCATAAGCATCAATTATGTATGTTATTGCCATGTAAAATAATCAGATAATCAACATTGTGATTACATTAATTAACCCAAAGTGGAATACAAGATCAAAGTATGCATGTCACAACATTTTATAGAGTTACATTCAAAATGTAATAGAACAACTTTATAATCATAATATGTCAATAAATTTAGCATCAAAGCATAGTTTTAAAATTAGCCAAGATTTAATTTCTTAATTTCAAAAGGAAATATTAAAAAAATTCTCAGCATTCATTCCGATCTGTTGTGTGACACATTTCTCCTTTTCAGAATTTTCTAATGTCAAAAATAGGTTGCAGAGCTTACAAATAGTTACAAACACAAACTACACATGATTACAAGAAGGAATATAAAATTTGAATTTCCTAACTTCCCGTTTTGCCGAGACATCAAAAATCAATTAATCTGTAAAACTCACAAGAGAAGTCACTCTCATCTTTTTATGCATTTCATGATAATTATCTATACATCTACTTGTCTGATGGATATGTTTATAACCTACACAAAAAGTTTATGATAATATACAGGAATACTGAAACCATTTGTTTATATTTGGTAGTTAAAGACTGTAGTTTGAAAGAAAAGCTTTCATGTACTGACGACAGATTTTTCTCCTAGCAATAACAGAATTTTTTAACTTATTCATAGCTTAGTTAGAAAGCCAGATAAATGAAAGTAGATTTAAGACATGCTATTCTAGTGCTTAATATAGTTTTTGTGTTTAAAATGTAATTTGAAAGCTACAAAAACTATTTTGTGGACAGCAAACACAAGGGGGAAAAAAGGTAAGGTTACCAAAATGCAGCATCTAAGTACAAATGTGAGCAATGCATAAAGTGCATGCCAATTTTCTCATTGTGTATATATATATATTTTTTATTTATTATAATTATTATTAACTTTTTGTTTTAATTTAAAAACAAAACTTATGTTAGTTCAAGAAATGTAAGTGAAATTTTATGATCTGAGAAACTAGCTCACAACTGTGTAATTTCTTCAGTTTGTTTATTTATATGCAAGGGAGAACGAGATACTTGCTCTTGCTATGATCTATTACTTTCCAGATCTATTACTTTAAAGTCCAGAAATAAATAGAAAAAAATTAAAAACATATATAGAAAGGTAATAGTTTAACTTTGGAAAAAACGTTGAAGACCTAGCAACAAATGATGCATTCAAAGAAGGAAATGGGTATTATTCATTTAATATCATATTTTTAAACTTTTCACTTCATTGTACATGAATGGATTCTGTACAGTTTGTATTAGGATAGAGAAAATAACACATAAAATGTAAACTTACCAAAAAATAAAACTTTTGACATTCATTTACAAGATCATTGAGGTTATGCAAATGAAATGTGAAACTGTAAGATCACAGTAAGAATTTTTATTATTCTTAACACATAAATCACCTTCCACTCTGTTGACTCAGTTAAGGTTTCATAAAATCACAGACAAACCTTTAAAAGATACACTTCAGTAAAAAAAATCTGATTTTTGTACACAGTCTTACAATGTTTACTAAAAGCTTCTCAAGTTTCATGAAAATACACTTCGTAAATTAAGAGTTAGAGTATTCGTGATTTCATATTTCTGAAGTGGCTCAATTGATCCACTTCATACAAAAGAGTTAATGTCACAAAAATAATCAACTAATTAAAATTAGGATCTCTGATTATTCTAACTATCTAAGTAATCAAAATAACTGATTATAATTTTTGATTAATTCAAATTTGTTAAGCTTTACTATTAGGTTTCACAACTCATGGAAATAATCAACTAATCAAAATTAGGGTTTCCAAATTTATTATTTTCAAATATTCCAACTATACAAGAAATTGCAATATTGACACTATGATTTCTCATTGTTATTTAATTGATTAAATTTAAGTTTGGGCAGCTTTAGAAGGATATGACCCAATGACTAGAGGAGTTGCCTCATGATTTAAAGGTCTCTAGTTTGATTCTTGTTGCTACCAAACATAGTCATCCTTTCAGCCACACGTGTTTATATTGTTTCTTTGTTTTTGAATTACAGCTAAGCTACTGAAGATATCTATCACTGTCATTAATTTTGAACTGCTAACCAGAGAGAAGATAACCAGCCAACAGCACCCACTGCCAACTACTGGGCTAATCTCTGACTGTGACATTATAATGCTGTTATGGCTTAACGAGCAAATATTTTTGGCAGATTAAAAATTAGCAGTAGGTGAACCCATCCATAACATGATACTTCTGTTGGGGCAATGTTATAAACACTGCATGTGTTCTACCTATGCACAACATACAAATGTGAGGATGTGGCCTAGTGGTCAATAGTTAAATAAATATTCAGTGAGATCTATTGTTCATGTTTATCTTGTTTGGACTAAACAATAGAGTAGCTTTAACTTGTTATATTGCTTGTGTATTACACACTACAAAAGTAACTAGTGTTACCTTACTCAGGGAATAAAAGCAACGAAACAAAGAGTTTGCAGTTTGAACACTCTCCTTAGCAATAAACTTTTAACATTTGTCCAAAACATATATACACTAACAAAAGTCAGACTTAGATAGCTCAATACTTATCTCCAACATGGAATACTATAAAATAAGGATAAATACATTCATTATTATTATTACTATTACTGAAGTACAATGATGCACTACCTCTTTAATTAATAAGAAAAACTTTTGAGATCATGTTTTCAATACTTACCCAGTTGGGTACAGAAAGGCATTCAAGCAAGTTACTAACTAACTTTCTGTATGTGGCTAGCAGAGTTCTAGGTGAAGGCCAAAGCCTACTTATATGATTCTCTTAGAGGAATAACAATGTTGTTTAATTAATGAACTCAGTTATACTTGTCAGCAAACCAGATAACAGTTGTGAATAGAACTGGCCTTGATCTTCCCTGCTCATTGGTCAGCTGACTTAACAAGAACCAATCAGTTTTCTTGTGTAAGAAACATAGGAGTTTGACATATTTAAGATAGTGTTTAGGCTTGGAAGAGCAGGACAGAGATTTTATGCAGACTGGACACAGGTTAACAGTTCCCCTTATTTTACATTTCTCACTAAGTACTCAGCAAAAGCCTTCAGTTTCTGATGTATTTCTTCATTTTTTTTTTTATATCAAGCTAAAAGTCTGTATAACTCTCAGTATATATTGTGTTTAGTTCTTGTGCTTAAACTTGAATAATTTTAGAGTGTAATGTTGGCTCCAGTGCTTAAGGTTTAAAGTGTTTTTGTAGATGTGGTGGTAAAATAATTTTTGATTTTTTTTTTATTTATTTCAGTAAATTATCCTTATGTACTTTTCAAAATAATAGTCAAATTTTATTTCAAAGAAGAAAAATAAGATATGTTGGACTTTACACAGTACATTTTTTTTTATATAGTTTAACATTGTTTTCAGGTTAACTTGTGGTACTTTTAATTCAATGCTTTCTTTTAAGAAGGACCTACATGCATGGACGAAACTTCACTTTCTATTAAAAGTCTTCTTTAGCTTTTGTCAGTCACACAAACATACACACACATTTGATCACCTGTCCTGTTGTTAACTATGTTATTAAGCATTTGTTCTTTATGTATGTTTGTGTCTTGTCTACTTCTTTATGACCAAACCAATGTAATTCAACTGTAAATATACACTAAAGCTTGGGGTCCAAGATTCTGTTACTAGTGAGTCTAACTTCTCTGCTCTGCTGGTTATCCAAGAAATACCATATTATTATTTGCTCAATAATCACGATAACCAGGTTTGTCAGAAATGACTACGCATGGACTAACAACAGTCTAACAGTACGTAACACCTTTATAGCATTAACCTATTTACACAAACAAGTTTTCAGTTTAATTATGACTAGCTCTAGCCAGACAGTAAGCACTGAAAA